CTAAGTCAGGGCAAGGCTAACTCACAGATCAAACAACCAGTGCTTGATTTCTTTTCGAAAGTGGTCTATTTGTCTTAATTGTCTTGTTATAATCCCCAGCTATTCTCTACCAAAATCAAGGAGGATCAAACCCAAGTGATTCACCATTGTCCCGACAGAAGAGAGCGATTCCCGGCACCCCGTGTGGTGGACACGGTCGAATGAAGCGTTCTTGTGTCATCATCCCACCTCCACCACCCAAACCTCCGACAGATCCTCCATGGGGTGCTCCACAGTTAGTCGGGACTCGACCTCCAAATGTAGACTTCTTAGGAAGACCAATCGACTTCAACAACACCATTTACTACGATGTCCGCATCTATAAAACAAACTGCATGTTCTTCAACAGGACTGCTAACACGTGGGGAAACAACGGCTGTAAAGTAAGTATGACGTCACAAGGACAAAAGAGACAAAAGACATCAGCTGACCTGAGAGAAAATGTTAGCCAATCAGCATCGAGAAAATTTTCAAAACTGAGGTGTCCCTTTTCCTCTTGAAATTATTGATTTCCAGGCTACCAAATGAAAAAAAACAAAACGTTGCTAATAAATAACAGGACGATAAGTATATGTAATAGGACTCCATGCTGTCTAATTAAGAAATAATTGGACGAGGAAAATTCTGAGGACTGACAAAATTGGATGAGGCCGTAGGCCCCTTTTTCGCTCGTCAACTTTCACAGCCTTCATAACGCCTTAGTTCTGGAGTGATGTCATTTCAAGTCATCCAACATGGCGGATATGACGATAACTTTCAGAGAAAGCATCCCTAGTCAAATTGTTTTCAAATGACAATATCTTGTTTCGTCTTTCATCTCGACTTTTATCGCTTTTTTTCTTTTGTTTTTTCGTTGCTTGGATAGCACTTCATATGTGGTCTATTTTTGTCATCCAGGAAGCACTTTCACCAAGGAATTACTTAATTTTGGCTCATATAAAGTACCAACTTTCAAGCCTATTTGCCTGAAAAGTGTGGTAGTGTTAGAGTTGATTTTTTACGACAAACTTTCATCGACAACGTTTTTACAATTTTTTTATTTTATTCTTTTAGGTTGGTAATGAAACTCGTCAAGATCGCATCCAGTGCAGGTGTAACCATTTCACAAGCTTTGGTAGCGACTTCTTTGTGGCGCCCAACCCTATCGACTTCGACAAAGTGTTTTCAGCGGATCTGAGCAAGAATCCTGTTGTCCTGTCCGTCGTGTGTAGTATCTTTGGACTGTATCTTATTTTAGCCGTCTTCGCTAGACGTGCTGACAAAGCCGATGAAAAGAAGGTACAGGAATTATGAAGAAACAGAAAACGCGCGCGCGTGCTGTGTGCAGTTATATAGCACGTGTGCATTGGCAGAACACGAGAGAAGTGTTAGGAGAAGCACGACGCGTAGCAGAATGCTTCTTGACATTTCTCGAGTGTTCTGCCAATCCCTAAGTGCTTTATAACTCCACACAGCACAGCAACTTTTTTATTTCTTTTATAAAATACAAATTACACGAATGACGCAACTGAAAGTGCGTGCGCGCGCTGTGTGCTCTTATAAAGCACTTGCTCATCCCAACCAATCAGAGATTTAGAGCAATTACTTTATAATGATTAATCGAGCAGTTTTCGCATGACTGTGAAAAGCTCACGGTCGTGACACGGCAAGCAATACGTCAGACCAACCACATTGCATGAGAATTTACTCTCCATCCAATCAAATACCTGGAACACGACATGAACACGACATGAACACGACGCGGACACGGTCCCGCCAATGTCGGGGCACTGCCAGACCAATCACATTGCACGAGAAAAATATCCCCCAATCAAAATTATAAAGAATGCTCTTTCTTTTTTATTTTTATCGTAGACACCTAACTCGTAACTTAAACCTTTGAGGACGTACAACTGATTTTTCTATTTTCACACTTTCGTTTTAGACCGGAGTGACTCCATTACCTGCCAACGCAGCACCAGGTTCTCATTCCTACCTCGTGTCTATCCATACTGGGGTCAGGATGAATGCAGGCACAACAGCGAACGTTTGTATCGTTCTGTCTGGAGAGAATGGAGAGGGTCCCCCTACATTGCTTAAAGATCCAGAGAGACCATTGTTCACTAGAGGTGCTGATAACTCTCTTGTCATGACTATACCTTATGATATTGGAAGACTAACGCATGTGCGACTTTGGCATGATAATACAGGTGAGGATAGTACAAGGCGATTAATAACATGATGATGATGATGGTAATGGTGATGATTATGGTGATGGTGATGACGATGGCGATGGCGATGATGATTGATGACGATGATAATGTTGATGATGGTGATGATGATGGTGATAATGGTGATGATGATTATGGTGGTAATGATGATAGTGATGATGATAATGATAGTGATGGTGATGATGATGATGTTGATGATGGTGATGATAGTAATGATGATGATAATGATGGTGATGATGCCCATAGTGTCGATGATGATGCTATTACAATGACGATAATGGTGTTGATGGTGACAATGACACTGGATATATTGTTAACGAGAATGATGATGATAATAGTGATGATGATGATGATGACACTGGTGATAGTGATAACTAGAATGATGATGATAATAGTGATGATGATGATGATGATGACGATGATGATAATGATGATGACCATGGTGTCGATAACGACGATGATGACAATGACGATGATAATGATAATAACAATGTCGATGCATGATTGTGTTGTTGATGATGATGATGCTGATATAGTCTTTAGACCAAAAGCATTTGTTTTTTACAAGGGTAACGGTCTGCTATGTTACGGATAACATAACTAAACAACTCCTATTGTTTTTTCCAGGCGACAACCCCTCGTGGTATCTCAGTCGTGTGGCTATCGAGGATCTTCACACTCATAAGAAATCCTACTTCGTGTGTGAACGATGGCTAGCTGTCGAAGAAGACGATGGTCGGGTCGATAGGATCCTTCCCATCGCCAGCAAGAAAGAACTCACACAATTCAGCCATCTGTTCGTCGGCAAAACAGTGCGCGAATTGGGTGACGGTCATCTTTGGTTCTCAATCATTACTCGCCCGCCACAGAGCGTCTTCACCAGACTGCAGCGTCTATCTTGCGGCATATCGTTACTCTACTGCACAATGATTACTAGCTGTATGTTTTATAATACAGGAGGAGGGCAGGAGAATCCTACTTATGTCTTATACATCGGTTCCCTCAAGATCGATCTTCGGCAGATGGTCATTGGCCTACAATCAAGCCTTATAGTCTTCCCCGTGAATTTATTACTCGTGCAGGTCTTTAGGAAGATCAGGCCCAATGAACCAGCCAATAGCGATGATGATGACTTCAGTGAAGACTTCGAAGACATCAGCACTTGTTCAGACGAGGAAGAAAGAGCAGAGAAATCGGAAGAGAAGAAGAAGAAAAAAAAGGAAAAGAAGAAGGGATTGCATCCAAGATGGAGATACGTTGCCTGGACTGTCTTCGGCTTATCAACCTCAGTATCTGCGACGTTTACAGTATTCTACAGCTTGAGCTGGGGACCCGAGGTAGCTAATAAGTGGATGGTAGCCTTTGTCCTCTCGTTCTTCCAGAGTGTTCTTCTCATTCAACCAATCAAAGTCCTCCTCGCMTCCGTCGTCTTTGCATTGATCATTCGAAAGCCTATTGCAACCGAAGATGAAAATCAAGATGACCTTCCAGATACAATCGAAAGTAACAACAAGTCATTATTTGCTGATGATCTTGGATGTTACGATAAGGGCGTGACTAGAGGGTAAGTACGTTACGTGATGATGATGATGGTGATGATGATGATAATGATGATGATGGTGATGGTAACGAGGGTGATGATGATGGTAATGAGGGTGATGATGATGGTAATGAGGGTGATGATGATGGTAATGAGGGTGATGATGATGGTGATGAGGGTGATGATGATGGTAATGAGGGTGATGATGAAGCTGATGCGGATGACGGTAATGATAATGGTGATGATAATGATGATGATGATGATGATGGTGATAATGATGATGATGGTGATAATAACGATGGTGACGAATAGATGATGATGAGGATGTTAACGATGATGATAATGATGGTAATGATGATAATGATGGTGACCAGGTTCTAATGAATTAATAAATGCATTGTCTTACAGGCCTCCAGACGAGTTCATGTTGATGCAAGCACGACAAAAGCGACTCAAAGAAATCCAAATGACTACAATCCTACGAGAAATCTTCGCCTACTTTATATTCCTCGGGGTGCTGCTACTCGTCGCCTATGGCAACAGGGACCCTAATGCCTACCTCCTGAGGAAGAGCTTGATGCAACAGTTTGTTGACTTTACTGATGAAGAAAATGTTGGACTTGGAAGTGTAAGTATTAGGAGTGATTTGTCTAGTTATGGATGGTGAGAAAACCCTTACTGTGAGAATAGAAGGAAGAAAGGTTTGATAACCATCTCTCATTCATATCTCATTGTAAAGCGCCTTTGATCATATCAATATGGAAAAGAGCGTAATGTTAAATCCAAAATCACAATTACAATCCAGAGCTGAGATCAGTTACATTGTAGTAAAACGATGGCTCGTTTTTATTTCAAGGCGGGCGATGCCGACTCGTTCTGGCACTGGGCACGAGAGACTTTAATCCCCGGCTTGTACCCAGGCCCCCTCTACAACAACAAGAGTGACAAGTACACGGGATTTATTACTGACCGTAACAACTATTTGGTTGGAATATCGCGTCTCCGACAAGAACGAGTCAAGAAAGGTATGTGTCGTATTGATCGTGCTGGGCATTGAAAATTTACAAATGGAATACTTACTATCAATCACGTGACTCTTTGGGGTTGACTGGGGGGCAACCAAGGGGTTGACTGAGGGGCAACTAGCGGATTTTAAGTCAAAACATATCAAAATAAGTCCTCAACTATGGTATTCGACATTTCTACGACTTGAAACCAGAAACCAAGAGATTAAAGCAACCTCCAAGATTCTTCAAGCCATTCAAAACGCAGCTATTACCCATATTAAGCTTTACTCTATATGTTAGTGTCGAAGTTGGAGTAGAGAAAGCTCACTCCATATATAGTATGATCAATTCCATATTTGGATTGTGCGGAAAAGCGGCTAACAAAATAGGCCGTCGTTTTATGACGAGTTCGACATGAACATTTTTGAAGAAGAAAAGAAAAGAAAAAAGGACAAGAAAAAAAGAAAAACTTTGGAAAATCGAGGAAGGATACGGGGACGATGCTAACTCGTGGGTCTGCCTCGCAGACAACAGACACAGGGAAATACGATACTCAATGTTTGATTTGCGGAAGTAACGTCTATTGATACCAACCTATAAACCGATTCCGGCTATGCTTGAGTGTAATGGGCTATTTTTTCAATGGAATACAGAATGTCCGAACAACAAAAACTCGAATTCATTAGATATTTTAGTAGTCTTTCTTGTACCTTTAGAATGCATTGAATCGATCTCAGATCACAGATTTCAAATCTCCGACTAACACCCTTTTTTGAAAATAGGTGTATACAATTTGACATCAAATATCTCAACAGCGTGATTTGTATAATATAGCAATGTCAGTTTAGAAGGAATACATCTGAAGAGGTTTATTAACGCAGACATGTTCGTTTGATTACAGACACGTGTACCATCGCCCCCGTGTTTCGGCACGAGTTCCCCACGTGTTTGGGGGGTTACTCTGTGACGGCAGCAGACACTGGAGACTATGACGTGGGGTGGAAATACCTGAACAAATCCACTACATCTGCCTCGCGCAAACGAAGAAGCCTCGAAGAACAGTTCTCGTTCGTGAGAGAGAACAGCAAGATGGTGAAATACGGTGACTCCAGTAAGGTCAAACCACGCATGCGCAGAGCTGTTGAACCAGTGTATGTTTCTACATCCGGTCGTCAGCAGCGAAGACGAGTGAAAAGCGGCGAGTCTAAGGTCTATTTCGTTCTTGACAGTGCGATACTTCCAGACGGTTCAATAATGTCTTGTCCTGCAAGATGGATGTATCATAATCCCATTGAGCTACGTGGCTTCCCTTACTGGGGTAAACTCTACTTCTACGGCGGGGGCGGCTTCCCCGCGGACCTCGGGTACGATTACTCTACAGCCCTAACAGTGGTAGCTGACGTTAACTCGCATAACTGGTTAACGGATCAGACTAGAGCGGTGTTCGTTGAATTCACCGTGTATAATGCTAATACCAATCTGTTTGGCGTTGCCTTTTTGTTCATGGAGTTCTTGCCAAACGGAGGGGCATTCCCAAGCGCTGCGTTCTCGATCTCCAGATTGTACAGCTACGTTGGACCTTTCGCTAAACTGATCCTGGCCATGGAAGTACTTATGCTGCTATTCATGTTCTACTTCATGTACCGGGAAGTCAAACTAATGGTCAAGCAAAAGAAACAGTATTTCCATGGTTTCTGGAATTGGCTTGAAGTTGCGCTCATCGTCCTGGAGTTTGTCATGGTGATACTGTTCTTCGCGCGCATGTGGGAGACAGATAAGAATTTCATCAAACTTCACGAAAACCCGAAGGACTTTGTAAGCTTCCAGTACGCTTCAGCATCAGACATGACCTTGACGTACGTAATCGGAATACTCGTGTTCCTCGTCACGTTACGATTCCTCAAGCTGCTAAGATTCAATAAGAAGATGGCATTCATTGGGACCACCATTGGATTCATAGCTAAGCCTATTGGACTCTTCATGATCAGTTTTTCGATCATCTTCTTCGCTTATGGAAGCTTTGCCCATTTGGTGTTTGGTCCGATTAACGACAACTACAAAAATCTTCTGTCTACTGGGGTAACGCAGATGCGCATTCTCCTGGGTGATTTTGATTATTATGACATAGAASATTCTGACCCAATTCTTGGGCCAATTTACTTCTTTACATACATGTACGTGATAGTATTCTTCCTAATGAACATGTTTCTTGCAATCATCAACGATTCCTTTGCCGACGTAAAGGACTTGGAAAACGAAATGGCCAATGAGTACGAAATGGTTGAATTTATTTTGTCGAGGTTCAGGGCTCAGTTTAACTTCATGAAGAGACCTAACAACCACGTGAAAACCCCGTTGGGATTGGGCCCAGATATTCCCTTCTGGGAGTACAAACACAGGAGAGATTCCATCTGGAATGATTCCGAGTTCAGCACAAATACCGACTATGAATCACTGAAGATTAAGCGCAATGTCTTTGCAATGGGGAAAGATTTAGATGACTTGTTGGAAAGACTGGGTGACATGCACAAAGAGGATGTTGAATCGGATGAGCTGTTGATGATGACTTTGCAGTATGCAAATGGGCCTAATAGTGAGACTACTTCAATTGCTAGCGACATGTCATAGACACTGTATCAAAGACGTCTTATTCAATTAGCATCTCATTAGAATTGTAACCATAACAACACATTAAAAATCACCCCAACACTCTGCAAATTCATAGACCCCTTGCGTTGATTTCCTACAGGAATTGTTCTGGGGGACAAAACAATACCCCGTCTTTTCTTATGCAAAAAATAATCCTTTGTTTTTTCCCCTAGAATAATTCCTCTCAGGACTCAAGGGGTTTATATAACAAGTTGACTTAGAAGACACATTTCTATTACTTCAAGCATGAATCAAAGTATCTAGTAAGCTTATCTGGTGCTGCACAATAGGATGCATCGTCCCTTTAATGTACATTATACCAATTTCCAAGCCCGTACAATTCTCATACTCATTACCATATACACAAATTGGGAATTTTGCTTCAGAAATAGCATAGATAACAGCTTCAGTTCATACATATGATAATACAGGGTTTGAATTACAGTAATAATTCAATCTAATTCCTATGTAGCTTAAAATAGGAAGGGTTGGGAAAGGGGTCACGTTTACCACGGAGCATTTAATAACTCTCAGTTCATCTCAAATCATTACAACCATAACTTTTACCCAAAAAACTAGCTAAATGAACAGATGAAGGCAGCATTGATTTAAAAACAATACAGTCTAGTACAGAAGACTTTTACCTTTACTGGAATATTTAAGGAAAGAAATATAACTTTAAACAGTAAAAAGAGCTGCTTCAAATGGCTAGTATGAGAAAATATATGTATTTGAGATCTTAACATAACATATCTAAATTGTACATTGAACATTTTTGTATGACTATAGCTCGCAAAAATGTCTGACAAATTTCTCCAATCTGTTCTTAAAGATAAAGAGAAAAGCAAAAAATTTGATGCTCAACCAATGTTAAACAAAGCACAACTTTCAATGAAATAAAAATAAAAAATTGCACACAATTCTAGTGTCTTGTATGTGAAGTAATACCAAAAGAGTAGGGAACCATGAAATAGTTTTAAAAGTCTACAAGAATAATATTTGGAGCACTTGGAATTTAGGACTGGTTATTAGGAAAACGTAGGGAGCCCACTCCCCTCCAACATTTATATTGATACCCTGAAACAACCTCTGGGCTGATCTAAGTCAGGGCATGGCTAACTCACAGATAGAACCCTGAAACAACCTCTGGGCTGATCTAAGTCAGGGCATGACTAACTTACAGATCGAACCCTGAAACAACCTTTGGGCTGATCTAAGTCAGGGCATGGCTAACTCACAGATAGAACCCTGAAACAATCTCTGGGCTGATCTAAGTCAGGGTATGACTAACTCACAGATCAAACCCTGAAACAACCTCTGGGCTGATCTAAATCAGGGCATGACTAACTCACAGATAGAACCCTAAAACAACCTCTGGGCTGATCTAAGTCAGGGCACAGCTAACTCACAGATCAAACCCTGAAACAACCTCTGGGCTTATTTAAGTCAGGGCACTGCTAACTCACAGATAGAACCCCGAAACAACTTCCAGGCTGATCTAAGTCAGGGCACTGCTAACTCACAGATAGAACCCTGAAACAACTTCCAGGCTGATCTAAGTCAGGGCACTGCTAACTCACAGATAGAACCCTGAAACAACTTCCAGGCTGATCTAAGTCAGGGCATGGCTAACTCACAGATCAAACCCTGAAATGACCTCGGGGCTGATCTAAGTCAGGGCATGGCTAACTCACAGATTGAACCCTGGAACAACCACTGGGCTGATCTAAGTCAGGGCATGGCTAACTCACAGATAGAACCCTGAAACAACCTCTGGGCTGATCTAAGTCAGGGCATGACTAACTTACAGATAGAACCCTGAAACAACCTTTGGGCTGATCTAAGTCAGGGCATGGCTAACTCACAGATAGAACCCTGAAACAACCTCTAGGCTGATCTATGCGAGGGCAGGCTTTGCAGATGGAGGAAAACCAGAGTACCCAGAGAAAAACTCTTGAATCAAGGAACAGACCTAACACACTCTACTCACATATGATGGCTAGTCCAGCACACAAATGCAAGACCCCAGGGGTGAGGGGTGAGTGCACTACCTCTACACCATCCTTTTGTAGACCCCTTACTTTATAGTCTATCGTATTTACCACTCCTGGGTGGATAGTGTAGTGTCTAACAGGTTTTGCAATCCAATTGATAAGGAAGCTAAAAGATCGAATTAGCCTTTATAAAACCATTAAAGCATATGTTACATCTCCTTGACTTCTAAATCTTACATCTCAGTCAAATGTGGTTTTCAACAATATTCAAGGATAACTATATATGATGCTGCATTCCTCAAATTGATACAAAGAAAAGGCATTTTATAGAATTCCATTCAAAAAACTTGAAAATCCCCAAAGCTGCCAAAAATATGGAGCGCAAAATTAGGTCTAAAATTAAATGAGTAAAGCCCCAAAATATAGCAATGAAAGTTCAAGTCTATAGATAATAATAACAATTTTATCTTCGAATTATTGGATAAATAAATAAATAACTTAGATATAAAAGGTTGCTTTTATAGTTTGAAAGTTGTAATAGTCTCACCTCGAGAATTGACGACGTTATTTTCTGCAAAATGTCAGTCATAATGGTCTAGAAAAACCTCCAAGGATTCCATGACTCTTCCTTTTTCTCTTCTGCTCTTTGTAGTATCCAGAATTTTCCAGGTGAGAAGCAATTTCTTTTTGTTTTTATGCAGGATTATTTTTGTTTATTTTTAAAAGAATCATTTTTTGAAAATGGCGGCTACATCCGGGTCTTGAATGGCGTCGCGCATGCGCATTGTTATCTCTTCTGAAGGAATAAGATGGAAAATGGGATTTTATGCACTGGGAGTAGGATTCACAAACAAAAAAATAGAGTGCATTCAGTTAAACCGTTGAATAGTTGACGTCACCTAAATTAGATAAGTTAGTTACTATTTTAGCTGACCTCACATAAATTTGAAACTACGAGTAAACAGCTACTGAGATCAGGGGGAGAAACGATGATACAAATGAATGTCTGTTGACTCATTTTCTGGTAAAACAACCCCCCGGATTAGCATGACCGTTATTTGACGCGCTTTTACTATTTTAGGTGACGTCAACTAAATAGTTATCTAAGTTAGATACATTTATCTAACTATTCAACAGTGTGACTGAATGCACTCTAATCAAGAACTAGAAACCGAATTGAGATTCAAGCAAATATACGCTGGGACGATGGGATTTGGTCAAAATGGGGGTTGAGATTAGGACCCCCCTCCCCCTTCGCGACCCTGTCTTCAGTTCTCTTCCCTTCTTTCCCTTCCCTTCCCTTCCCTTCCCTTCCCTTTCCTTCCCTATTAGAAATCTCAGACGATTGTAAATAAAAGATCAAATATAACAGTCTTCAAAACATCTTTCAAATGATGGTTTATTTACACACTTTTATGCATTGCGTCAAGTCCATTATTCACACCCTCGTTTAGTCGATTCAAACCGACCATAGATCCATCCTTGTGGTCGATATATAGAGTTCAGTTCTCTCTTTCCGCCTCATACTCGGGCTCTTCTTTAGGTACTAATACACACTGAAATTTCTCACGTCTTCCATAGTTGTCCATAGCCGTCAGTGCACATGTTAGACCAGTACTGCACGGGCAACTGTAGTGGAGTCCCGGCTTTTTTTGAAAAGGAAAAAGGAACAATTCAGACAATTCATAAACTGGTTAAGGAAATCAAGGGTGTTGTAGCGGAAGCACTGACTTGCCTCTCACGTCTGAGGTCAGCTAAACTGCCCTAAATTCTCATTCGCTCTGTGAGTTAGCCATGCCCTGACTTAGATCAGCCCCRAGGTTGTATCAGGGTTCTTTCTGTGAGTTAGCCATGCCCTGACTTAGATCAGCCCAGAGGTTATATCAGGGTTCTTTCTGTGAGTTAGCCATGCCCTGACTNTGTGAGTTAGCCATGCCCTGACTTAGATCAGCCCAGAGGTTATATCAGGGTTCTTTCTGTGAGTTAGCCATGCCCTGACTTAGATCAGCCCAGAGTTTGTATCAGGGTTCTATCTGTGAGTTAGCCATGCCCTGACTTAGATCATCTGTGAGTTAGCCATGCCCTGACTTAGATCAGCCCAGAGGTTGTTTCAGGGCTCAATCTGTGCGTTAGCCGTGCTCTGACTTAGATCAGTCCAGAGGTTGTTTCAGGGTTCTATCTGTGAGTTAGCCGTACCCTGACTTAGATCAGTCYGGAGGTTTTTTTTTCAGGGGAATTGATAAAAAGTTAATGGAATTCCTCCTTCCCCAAAACACACTAAAACCTTTTTGGAGGTTTAGGAGCTCCCCACACCCCCTACTTGCTAYGACTAGTTGTGAGAAACGTATAAGCATTACTCTGCTTACCTTAAGAGATCGACTACAAAGATTACCTAGTTTAGGTCTCTTTTTACAATACTTCACTGCTGAATTCCATACACRGACACAACATTCGCCCTCACTACAGTCACTTGCAGTCTCACATTGTTCCATACTTGTCTAAGAATTAAGGTATAGGAAAAATTAAAACAAGTTCTCGTATTTTATTTAATATGGTATCAATCTCTTTAAATTTATACTTTGCTCTTTTTGATATGATTATCTTTTTGATGGCATTATCTTTGATGCTATTCTTAGTCTGACTAGACAAAGCTTATTGACTTTCTAGAGGAGTCGTGTGGGTTGGGCTGATCGATTTATTTATAGATTTGAAAAGATTTTTTGCTTTCTCATTTTCTCCGCAATTTTTATTTTTCATGAGCAAGAACAAGATGGGAAGCTAAGTGAAATGACAATGAAATGGCTTCCCATCATATAGCATACAGTAATGATTTACAGCACATAACATTGAAATGGCTTCCCATAAGATTTATAGAGGATATTTACATGGGCGCTTGGAGATACGAATTTTATCTTCGAGTGTTGAAAAGATCTCTCAAAAGTGAGCGCAGCGAACGAGTGAGAGATTTTCAACACGAGAAGATAAATTTCGTATCTCCAAGCGCCCATGTAATATTCTGTTTATTATATAATTATCCATAAAATCAACTAAATAAGCTTTTTATTATTATAAAAAGCTTTTATTTATAAACCAATAGCTTAAATACACATGGTAACGATATTTTCACATGTGAAATAACATGTTATTTTCACATGTGAAAATATCAGTTTTTCGAAAAGGAGAAATATAGGTATTTTATGGATAATTATATGATAAAATGGGTTATCTTATGAGCCGGTAATGTACACGGTCCTACATGGTGTAGACATAACATGACTTCCCATAAGAATGGTCATTGCATGCGAGGGTAATGTACAAGTACATGCCGTAACATTCAAATGGTTTCCAGTAACAATACTTAGTATCGTATGAGAAACATACGATACGTCTTCTATCCGCAAAGATTATTAAGAAATTCACTCCTTCCAAAAATCTTTCCAAAACTTAAGAAGAGATAACTAGCTAAAAACTAGTGTGAGCTGCGTCGGTGTTGCTAATGAAACAGTATTGATAAAAGGATAAATTTTACACCGTGAAAAGATGAAAAAACGTACTGACGTTTCGGACGCTAGTCCTTCGTCGGAGTCAAAGAGGAAAAACTTTTTAAAATTTTCAAAAGTTAGTAAATATATCTATGTAAAACTTTGCTTTTCTCAACAAAGTATCCGAAAAATTACTAATATTCGTTAATATTATCTCACCACTTACCATTCTGGTGATGAATTCTTCATTTTCAAATACTGGGGAACCTCCAACATCAGCAATATATGTCATTACAAACATACAAACGGAGAAAATAGCGAAGGAAATCAAACTGTACGAAGCCATGTCTAGTGAATAATAAATAAGTCAGTCCAGGTTAGTGTGGATTTGGTTGTTGCAACTATTCCAGTAAAGTATGTAAAAGATGCCAAGGTTGGCCGCTTTTATATCCATTCCTTGATCAAATAGCGTTGATTAAAATCAAAAACTCACCATTGATGTATTATTGTTATTGAAGTAAATAAGTCCCAAAAGATAGTAATTGTTGTGGGAAAGTTTTTGAGCATAATTTTGTCTTTTAATTAGTTCCAATTGGCCGGCTTTATGAAACTTGTTTTAAAAAGCCCTTTATATATCTAGCTCATGAAGAGAGTATACGCTCATAGCCCAGCATGTACGAAGGCTTGATTCTAAATATTTGTTTCATAACATTAAACGCCGATGTAACGAAGTTTRTCTGTCTCTTTATCTGTACGTCAGTCGTCAGAATCATTTGTGCTTTACGCGATATGCTGATAAAATCATAGGCAAAAACCTATCGGTAAAAAAGTAATCATTGGCTTCCAATAAAAATGGCTATTGTTTGAGTGGGAAACATTCGGTACTGACTTACAGTACGCACGCGGTACGACATGCCGTAACATTGAAATGGCTTCCTATAAGAAGGTTATCGTATGAGTGGTAACATACGGTACTGACTTACAGCGCGTACACGGTACGACATGCCGTAACATTGAAATGGTTTCCCATAAGAATGGTTACCGTATGAGAGGGAAACATACGGTACTGACTTACAGCGTGTACACGGTGCGACATACCGTAACATTGGAATGGCTTCCTATAAGAACGGTTATCGTATGAGTGGGAACATACGGTACTGACTTACAGTACATACACGGTACGACTTGCCGTAACATTGAAATCGCTTCTTATAAGAATGGTTATCGTATGAGTGGGAAACATACAGTACTGACTTACAGCGTGTACACGGTACGACATGCCGTAACATTGAAATGGCTTCCTATAAAATTTTGAATAGTTTTAAATAGTCAATATTGTAAACTTTTCCAATTAGCGTAGTGTATATATTTTGATCGTTGCAAGGCGCATTTGAAAACGCTATGAGTCGAATTTGCACCATATAAATATATATTATTATGTTAATATTGGGATTAACAGCGTTTCCATGGAGTGGCTCTTCTTCCACTGAACTGCTACATAAAGTTTAAAAGTTGATTTTTGAGGAAGGAGGAAAAACCGGAGAATCAAGAAAGAACCCTCAAAGCACAGGAGAGAACCAACAAGCAACTCTACTCACATACGCCGCCGAGTTTGTGAATCGCATTGGTGATTGACAAGCGCTTTGATCGCGCGCTAAACCACCCATGGTTTGCCAGAGAACCTTGCGACATTCTCTTAAGGACTATTACTTTATTGCTCATCAGTAAAGCTTTGGAAGAATATTTATATGCATGCAACTCAAACAGAAAATCTCATTCTTTTGAATGAAAATCTGATGATGCATAGTCTATAAGGGAGAAAACATTACGCCCAAAAATTCACTAGTTGTACGAGTATGAGATATATTCAACAATTAGACTTGCAGCCCGAATGATCTACGAATCATTAGCCCATAAAACCGAAGACCGCATGGGCTATTGACTTTAGACCATGAGAGCGAAAGATCAGCATAAACCTATATACTAATCAGTGAAATAAATGATTGAACCTTTGAAATTAGGTTGAAATTAATAATCCTTTTTTTGTGTGTGTGTGGTTGTTTTGGTCTTCAAAACTGGCCCTTTTCGCTATTAGTGATCTATCAATAATAAGTCTGCAGTCTGCCTTCTTCCAGCCAATCAGAGCACAGGATTAATTATTGATGATAGATTATTAAAGGTTTATACTATCTATATTTACACTAAGAAGAATGAGGTATATCCAAGGTTAAATCCTAAAAGACGTCTACAAGATGTGCGCTTGTTTTGGCTAATAGACGTGACGTTGTGTCTTGTTTGTTATGTCGTGTTTGACTGAGTATCGGCGCCGTGGCTAAAATAGGAAATGTGTCATCGTGTTACAACAGGAAAGAAAGACTAAACAGGACGGACAGTTGGATAGAAATAAAACCATGGGTGACGTCTCAGTAAGTTTGAAAATGAACGCATAAATGAATTTATTACACATTTAAGCTCGATATCCGTGAAATAAAGCC